AACGAGGCTTTTTTACAGGTAAGCAATGCTCTAAATATCGATATGCATAACATTTGATACAAATTTAATTTTTCAGGATATATTTTTAAGCGTTGAGATACCAAGCTTAAGCTACGTCTACAGCAAACAGCATGAAGAATATTTGTCTCATTTTTGAACATAATTCAATTAATATTCATTTACAGTTATTACAAAAATGCTTATAACGTTATTATAAATTTTCAATATGGCATACATACGTGTATATAAAGATTTTCGTTGTCTTAACTTATTAGTTTTCCATTGTAAGTTTTTGCACAACGTCTAAGCGCAGTGAGTAGTTGTTATCCAGTTCATTGTAAATAACCTCATCGCAGTTGATAATGGCTCCAAGTGCCAAATGCTTTTCGAGATGGGCCAATTGCTCCGCGGTTATATCGTCGGGCATGTCCAGCAGTTCATACTCAGTAGTTAAGATAGGAAATGTGAATTGTGGTGGATATGGACGTATGTCATCCACATTAACTGCCGCAATGTTTCCATAGTCTATGAACAGGATGCTTGGATAACCATCACCCACTAGTTCCATGCAGACGCCTCGGCACCATTTGCCCTGATATTTGGCAATACACAGTTCATTTTTACTAAAAATAAAATTAACCTTAGTTATTCAGATGAGGCTTGGGGATTCCTACTAGACTTACGGCGCAGCAAAAGATTTACATTTGGCTATGGATTCGCCATAGTACTGAAAATTGCGCTGCATGGAAGTTATTTCGTATGCATAATCCAGAATTGTGCAGTGAATGACGCCAAATTTGATAAATGTGTTGTCCATGACAACCAATTCGATATTCTTGCCTGTTGGCAAATGGACATGCTGCAGATACTGGAATTAAAGAATAGATTGAGTCAACTGTTGATATCTGGTTTATCCGCCTTACATCTTCTTTATAGCCGATTTCTGAGATCGATGGCTCCACTGGATTCACAATTGTGTTAATCAAACGATTTAGGCTGCGATTCAGTTCACTCTCAATAAGAATGACGCGTTGCATTCCCTTGTCAAAGTCAAAATCACGCTTCGAGTACTTCAGCACAAACGTATATGTGTGGTCTAGTTCATATAGCATGCTGCGCAGATTTGGCGACATGAACCGTCTGGGCACGGCGCGCAACAGGACAGGCAGAGCATAGCGCGGCAAGCCGGCCAAATAGGGACTACACTCGTACAGAGTGTCCAGAGTTATGATCTCCACATTGCCATAATCCACGCACACCACATATATGGCCTGCGGATTGTCGACATTCAAGACCATAGCCCGCACAATTTGAACGCTAGATTTGTAGATGACTATTTCGCCGCAGTGGGGCATCTGCATCAGTTTGGCTGAATGTTTACCATGCAACATCACATCTGACAGAACTTTATAGTAGGCAATCTCATCCCCAATTTCAGCTGAGCGCACATATACAACATTGCTCTGCTCGAATGCAGAGATTTTCACGTTAGAGCCGGACGGCGGCAGCTGTATCTTTGAAAATTCTGAAATAATGGCATCGTCAATCTCGGGTAGACTGCCCTTGCCACAGCTTTCCTTGTGCACATCGGCCAGGACATCAAAACAGATGGTATTGCAAAAAGGCATCTGGCAGAATTTGCAACTAATGTCCGTGTAGCATTTGCATGAAAAACATTTCTTGGCCAGCTTCTCCAGTTGTGATTCAACTTGGGCTGGCTTAGCCTCAAGCTGGATTTTCGGCCTATAAGGACAAGTAAATATATTTATAGATAAGCAGTTATACTATATACATTATACCTACGTAATAATTGAACGACCGGATCGAAAGTGGAGAACAGCTTGATCCTTCTCAATGTTCTGTTCCAAGACATAGGCTCCATGTCGCTCCAGCATAAACTCATATTTTACACTCAAATAGCGATAGTTCCCATCGTTGTCGGCCAGCTGAGAGCCTTTTCTAGTATAGTCAGATCTAATGACTATGGGTGGCTTCGTGAATTCTGGATGTTTATGCTTGTTCGCCGATATCATAATCGTGCGAGACTCCAAGTTAACGGAATTCGGTTCATTAGTGGGAGGCGGCAGCTGTAATGCTGAGTTAAATGATATACTTTTTTGTGCGCGGCCCTCAACACAATGCACTATATTCGGAAACTGACGAAACTTTGTCCATGCCGCCTCAAGAGACCTAAATATTGAGATAAGAAATAATTTACTTGTAAAATATTTTATTTCGCTTATTTTTTTTTTTTTTTAACATTTTTTTTTTTTTTTTTTTTTTTTTTAACATACCCGATGTTATGGAAATAAACAAGAAATTCGCGTGATCCTGAACGAAATTCTATTTCATAGATAATATCGCCAAAATAATTTGCCAACAAATTCTCCGTTATAAATGGATTTTTCTTTTTGATAATCAAATATGGATACTGCTTTTGTTTAGAGATCCGATCTAGTTTACCATTGTCTTTAGCTGGCGCTACGTTAACCCTTTCATATTTGTTTGAAGTCTCGTCAAAATAGTGCTGAGCTATGGGATTCCAATCTGACCAAACGTCTTCAGTGTCACTCATTATTTACGATTTCAATGAACACAAAATACGCAGTAAGAAATCTCGTGCGCGCAATGGCAATTGAAAATCCACACTGACTTAAAATATCGATACCAGCTACATTTAACAGAATAGCAAATTGGTTAACAGCGAATCCAATCGAGCTTCGAGAGAACCGAATAGTCGTCGTGTGCGATACATCGATATATTGTTTCGCATCACAAGCGAACACATACACATAAACATAAATTATAAACGAAAACAAACAAGAATATAAATTTTCATTACAATGGTAAAAAACGAACCGAATTTTGTTGTTGAGCGCATCGTAGACAAGCGCATCACTTCTGATGGCAAAGTAGAATACTTTATTAAATGGCGTGGCTATCCATCCGGCGATAATACCTGGGAGCCAGAGGAAAACTGCGATTGCCCAGCACTCATACAAAAGTTTGAGGAGTCGCGAGCGAAATCCAAGAAACGCGGTGAAAAAAAACCAAAATGTGAAGAAATACAAAAGCCGCGCGGATACGAACGTGGCTTGGAACTGGCAGAGATTATGGGTGCAACAGATGTAACTGGTGAAATCAAATATCTCGTTAGATGGCAATTTTGTGATGAGTTCGATCTGGTGTCAAGCAGCCAGGTAACCGAGAAAAATCCAGAAATGCTCATCGAATACTATCAGAAAATGGCTCCTTACACCGGCTACATAAATAAACGAATGCAAGGCGTGCCCGAAGAACTACGTGCGACAGCGGCGCAAACAGGTTATGCTGTCAGCAGTGCTCCTTCGGATGCAGTGGAGCCATCCATATGTAATGTGGATTCTGAGCAGCTGCCGCAGATGGAACAAAAGCAGATACCCATTGATGTGCCCGTACAGCAAGAGACTGCGCCAGACACCGAAATGGACAATGTCGGTGTTTCCTATTCCATACCCGTACCGGGTGTGGGTAACATTGCCATTGATGTCCCAATGGTCGACAATTGATACAAGAAGATTTAAGACTAGACATTAAAGTACTTTTATAATTATATTATAAACATTAAAATAAAATTTCAATTAATTACGTTCTTCGTCTAAGTTAATAGCTCCCAGCTGTCCAGTACGAAAGAAGCTAATAAATTTGCGCGCAGCCGCCAATAAATTGGTCATCACCTCCACCTGGCCATTGTATTGCTTGACGCGATGAAACATGGCCTGTTGCTGAGCATATTCTGCCAGCACGGCGCTAATGTTGTCGCTGGGCCCGGAGTGTAGACCAAGCAATTTCACATACTCATAGCGCTCGTGTTTATTTAGCCAATACAGCAGATAGTCGGCTATCAAGTCCTCGCCGACAATATGATCTGGCAGGCAGCCCACCAGCGCCAACTTCATGCCCATTTCATCATCTGTGATTGACGGTTGCAGTATGCCGGGAGTGTCTATCATATAGACAGGTGGCTGTTCCTGGATTTTAATACGTTCACCAACTGATCGCGTAATACCGGCCTCAGCTCCAACGCGTGCCGCGCTGCGTTTTTTGAGGTGCACATTTCGCAGTACATTAATGATGCTGCTCTTGCCCACATTAGGCACTCCAATTATCATAATATTGTGATCGGCACTTTGTGCTCTATTGAATCTACTACTCTCTCCCACTAACTTGGTTGCCAGCGGTAATATATCCAACACGCCTGTGTTACGCTGATCTTTGCAATTGGTAAAGAGAATATGTTTCAGTTCCGGCTGACGTGCACGAAGCTGCTTGAGTATACCACGTTGTTGCTTGCCTCCTAAGAGATCGATCTTATTCAATACTAATATATGGGGCTTTGCGCCATTGCCTATAGGAGGAAATGGAACGTGTTTAACTTATTACAATAATTTGAGAACAATTTGATGTGCTTACCCGTAATTGTATCAAAAAATTGTGAATTTCGGCCGGCTATAGGAATTCGCGCGTCATGTATTTCAACAATGCAATCGACGTTACGCAGCCTTTGTTGTATTTGCCGCATACCCTTAGTCATGTGGCCGGGAAACCAGTTGACGCGTTGATTTCGACTTGGTAGACGGAATACAGTCCGAAAAGGATTCGCCAGCGACATGTTTACGTTCTTAGCGGCAATAACAGCTGTTTGCCTGTGACGTAACAGTTGTCCGTTGAGCAATCGAGATTCGGTATGCACATCTGTTATCGATTAATATATTGCACTTCATTTTCGATTTTAAATGGAAATTTGCACCATTGAGTTCATCACTCAGTAAAAGTATTTGCAAAGAGCAATTGGACCGTTGTGAAGAAGACGTTTTTTTTTTTATATTACAATTTTTTAAATATTACATTCTCACAATCAAAAGAGTATTTGTTTAATGCAATTTTATATATTGTTTATAAATATAATACTCATATAATTAATCTACCTCTTTGCAAATAATTGAACAGCACAAATCGGCACGTCTTATCTTCCTTCAGATATCAGCAAAATCGTTTTTGTTGGAAAATCAAACATGCATTCTATTAAGGCTGATGACTTAAGACTTGGCGAGGTATAATTTAAAAGAAAAATACATATTTTTGTCAATAGAAAATTAAGATATTATGCTCATTTCTTGATCTAGGTACTTGGCGAAGGAAATAACGGAAAAGTTTTTAAGGCCAGATGGCACACAAAAGATGTTGCTGTAAAGGAAATATTTCTACAAAATATAAACAAGTCTACTGATAACGAGATCACAGAACTTTTACGTGCAAATCATGAAAATATAGTGTTTTTGCATGGAACTGCTATAAAGGACAATAGACTTTACCTAGTAATGGAACTAGTGGATGGCGGATCTCTAGAAAATTTGATATATTCCGAACAGATAAATTATGACCTAGCTCATGTTATAAACTGGGCTCTTCAGATAGCTAAGGTATATATTATTATATATTAAATAGTATACCATGACTTTATATTGTTTTATAGGGCATTCAATACATGCATTCCAAGAAGCTAGTTCACCGCGATATTAGACCGTACCATATTTTGCTATGTGATAGTTATCGACATGTGAAGATTTGTGAATTTTCGTTTGTGAGATCCCTGGGTACATCGATGACAAATAATAGGGGCACTGCTACCTATATGGCACCAGAGGTTTCTATTCCATTTTTACGCACACATTAAAAATATAATATTTGCAATTTTATCATTTATAGGTTTTTAGAGGTAAAAAATATACCGAGAAATGTGACGTTTACAGCTATGCAATAGCTTTGTGGGAAATGTTATCGCGAGACAAGCCGTATAACAGCTATGACACGAACCTACAAATATCCAAAGCAGTTCTAGATGGTATGGACCACGATATTCCTGTAGAAAAAAACAAAAAAAGGCAGAATACAAAATGTAATGACAATAAAATTACTTCGTTTTAGGCGAAAGTCCTTCCTTAGATGATATAAAAATTTCTTGTCCGGAGAAAATAAAGGAACTATTGACCAGCTGCTGGAGTACCGATCCAAATGAACGTTATTCCATGACTCAAATTATTGATGTGCTAAGTGAATACCCTATAGTCGTTGAGCAGCTGAGATTGTAAAAGAAAAAGTCAACACCATGATTGAACACATATTCCTTTATTATTAAGTCATTGTTTATTTACTTTTGACATATTTTCTGCACATAATATTTTCATAAGTGCCCCATATATACATATATTCTCATTTTTTCTATTTTGAAATACAAATACACTAATAAAATTGCGAAATGAGTAAAATTTCAATAAAATCAAATTTAAGCCAAGATGACTCTAGTAGTATCGACGTGACATCCATATTTCCGAAAGCATTGCCAGAATTTAAAGTGGGGCCTGTCTATGATGAGTGTGGCTTTACGCTCAATGAGAGGTTGGCTTTAAGACAGGCCTGGAAGCTAATTAAACCATTCGAGCGTCGTTATGGAAAGGAAATTTACTTTGAGTAAGAAAAACCACTTGAAGATTTCCTTATGCAAATTAAAGACAAAAAATCTGGACTAATATCGATTCCGTAGATATCTGATGGAAAATTATAAAGTTACTGACAATTTTCGGATAAAAGGTAAATTGGATATGCATCGTTTGCATGGTCATAGTTTGGCTTTCATGCGCTATTTGAATGCCGTAATCGAGCAAAACGACCCGGTATTCTTTCAAAATATGCTCTTCGACAATCATAATATACACAGCCGTTGTCAAGTGTCTCTAACTCATATGAAGGTACAATTATTGTTCATTTGTTAGGAATTTTGGATTATATTGTCCCATTTACAGGTGCTGTTGGAAGATCTAATTCAATATGTTCTAGAAAAACTAAAGGATGTTTGTTCGGCTTCGTTGGAGAGCGGGTTTCGACGGCTTTTGGAAAAGTTTCAGTTCGATCAGCCCGAAAAATCAAATAGTTTATTTAAGCGCGATGCAAGCGATGATGAATAATAAATTATGAAATCACTCATACGCCATATAGAACCACAATTGATTTTCACTTAAATTCATATCCATCCGGGTTTATAGCGCTCGATCAATCTGTAAATGATCCACATATATGCCATCATCCAGTGAACCCACTGACGGGTCGCCCAAGTCAATACAAAGTAGCGCTATCGGCAGCGCAATGCCAACGCTGACGTCGCTGCCACTGCTGCTGCTGGTTTCGCTGCCGCTGTTGCGATATACATATATCAATTGACGACACGACATCACAGTCGACGCTTTACGCGAGTCTTGGCAGCGTTTTCATTTAGCTCTGCCATTAAGCGCGTTTCCTTTGAGAAATTCAGTTTTGTTTGTGCGCTCAGTGCACCCATCCACACGTCTCGCTACTTAAAGCGTTTCCCATTAAATTTTAGCTGACCGAAATCTAATTCGTTTTAAAAAATAACTAAACAGCCAACTATCAAAATTTTTGCAAACAAAAAAACTAAATAAAATAAAATTTAAATGATTTAAAGTTTGTATGTTTGAAATAAGCTCGTATACTTTATATATTAACTATGGTCGCGACCGAGGATATTAAAAAGGTATGAGTTAATGTACACTCAAAAGGATTTACAACATAAATATGAACACTTTTAGAAAATAAAAAAAAAATAAAAAAAAAATAAAAAAAAAAAACAAGTTTTAGTTTTAAGAATTCGAGTTTTTTATCCACATGAATGGGTCACTCAAAAGTATGCCATGCTTAGCTTCTGCTAAATTGAATAGATTGATGGAATATAAAAAATGTTAAATAATGTTATTTATTTAGTAATATACAATCTATAAGCTAATTTATTACACACATTACGTTAGATATCTTATCTTGAGCACTACATCAAAATTGCTAAATCTAGGCTAGCAACTTGCGCCGAAAATTTCAAAATAACACCGGGCTATAAGATTTCATAAATTGTTAAAACCTCATCCAATCCAAATACCTAAGGTAATGCGTGCTCTACATTTAGTTTTCTGTTTTTATTTCTTTTTATTTTTTCATTTGTATTGTATTCAGAGTCATAAAGGTGCTTCTAGCCTAGAAGCACCCTATGAGCATAAATACAAAAAGGTACTTGACTTTTGAATACGTGTTTGTACATAATACTATTCCAAAGTTTATTGGGTATGCCATGGCTGGGCGTACCCTTGCTTAAAACACTTTTATGATTCCCGAAAAAAAAGGTTATCACAAGTGAAACAGAAGCACAATCAGAATGCGTGAGTTCACGTGTGAACTGACTGACTTTCGATAATGAATGATTCAAGAGCTTTGAATACGATTGATTGATTATCGCACATTGTTTATTCATCGCTCAGCTTTGCTTTTCTATAGATTTTCTAGCTACTGATTTATCCTCTGTTGATAAAAGTAATAATAGTAAAATATATTTAAATATTTTGTCTGTATGAAACTTGTGTTAAACACTTATTAATAACAGAATATTGTTTATTTTATCAACTTGTATGTTTACACTTTGCAGAGCTTTCGCTCTGGACCCTATCACTAGCTTGTTTATGTTTCCCGGACCGGACATTTTTATCTTGCTTATGCGAGCTGTCGAGTAATCTGCGAAGCAACAATAATATTTACATTTCCATTTAGGTCCATATCATGGCCAATGCATTTGCCATAAATAATGCATTTCTCAAATCTATATTATAATATAGCGAATCTTTATCGTTATACACGTTCACGCAGTTAAAAGAGTATATTGGTTTTGTGGAATGCTCGATCTGCCATACGTACGTGCGTCCCATTTACCGCTGAATTACAAACGTAAAATTGGAGGGTGTGAAGGTTCAATTAAGGGAGAATAACTAATTTTGTATAAAAGATTTTGTATTATAGATTAATAAATGTAATATGTGAACGCTCAAAATGCGACACAAATCAAAACAAATTTAGTTTGGATTGCCAGCCTATTTTCTAGCCTCTCATCACTAGCTCTTACATACTTAATTACTTACAAACACACTCACAAATAAGCATGCACATACTTACATACACACTTGCAAACACCACACATATTGCTAAAAAAAAAAATTGTCATATAACAATAACAGTTGTTTTTTTTTTTTTTTTTTTAATGAAATAAATTGTAAGTGATTGTACGCTTGCGTTCGATCATCTGGTACACACCTTCAGGTAAAACTGCAGTTGAATTTCTAATTGACTCTCTGCCCGCCAATGCAAATAGAATCGTATTTTTTACGACATTCATAATCGACATTCCCCACTGAGCCACTGGGCGCTCATACAATAAATTGTAAAGCAAGCCCTTCCTGAGCGCACGAAAGCAAACGCGACGAGCCTTCGTAGCGTCTTCGTGCGCACGAGGCGCATCGGCGCCAAGAGCGCGGCCGATTGCCGCTATGTCGCTATGTCGCTGTGGATGTCGATGCCGATGCTGCTGCTGCTACTGCCAACGATTGCACTTGACATTGGGCCATCGGTAAAGGGGAATCGGCAAAATGTAAACAGAGCAAAGCAAACAGCGCAAAAATAATTAGCATGTGATGCGCCTCTTTTGCCTTGTGGTGGGTGGGTGTGTCTGAGTCTTTGCTCGGCAAGTGCATAGGCTCTACCTCTCATACACACACTCTATCTCTCTCTCGCTCGCTCCTTCTCTTGCTGAGCGACCTGTTGTTGTCATTATGGCGACAGGTTTATTTGGCATTTGAATTGCAATTGACGCCATTAAATGCAATTACGTTTGCATAGTATACGTATTTTCCAATTAAACATTCCGTTTTGATAACAGCTGAAGTGCTCGTTTGCATTCCTGAAAAGGATTTCCATTTAACACTTAAATAACTGAAAAAAAACAACTATTTTTCAATTTGTATTTTCTACTCAGCTATTAGGCGGATCTGATCAACACAATTTGTAATTATGCATGCACATACGTATTTCCCACTATTTATACATGCATACATATGCATATATACACACATGTCTATATGTAACTGTAAGTGTACGATTTCAAATGCTTTCACCTGACGCATTTGGTTGTCGTCGAATGCATTTTTGGCAAGTGCAACAGCAACGCAATTTTTTATAGACATTACAGGAAGCGTTTGTTTGCTTGGACCAAGCGGCGTATGCGTAACATTTCTCTGAGCATATGTTTATTATGAAATCGTATAGAATTTTCTGAAATTTTTTTATTTTTTTTTGCAGCTGCGACCATAAAAGATTTATGAATATTTATTATTTTAGACATGTTGATTTATGACCGAGGGAAATTCGTAGTTGCTTTTACATTTGCTTTCTTAAACTCTCTCTCTCTCTTTTATTTCATACCATTGGACTCCCAAAGAATGTAGACGAGGCACTGTTCTATTATGTCTGACGTCAAATTTTAAATGTACTGCAATTTTGTTGGCAAAACAATGCAAAATAAATATTTTTTTCGCAACAAATTTGGAATACACTAAGTAAAGGCAAAAAAAAAAAAAAAAAAAAAAAAAAGAAAGACTGACTTAGTGAATTTGAAATGAAATTTTTAAATTATAAATATTTATTTATATAGAATTTATTTATAGCAAATTAACTAATGAAAGTCAAACTTATTTATTATTAACAATAGGAATACACTTATGTTTAATCCATAATCTATCTATTCTTCGACACCAATTTCTATCTAAAAACCAAATCTATTCAATTGTTTGCGTGTTACATATATGCTCATTAAGAGCAGATGCCTTGGCATCTTTAGGGTAGCAGCAAAAATAGAAGCCCCGCAAATACCTCAAGAAACGAGAAGAAAATTCGCTTTTCGAAGAGTCGCCGAAACAGTCTTCTCCAACTGTGTTGGCCGTACGGACCAAAACACTCGAGACGAGGCGTCAACTAATTTTAGCGAAAAAGACATTTCTATGCGGATATCTATAGAAAAGTTTATACAGATAATATACCGATAATATATATAAATAAATATAAAAATATATATTTATATATATATAGATAATAATTTGAAGTCGTTAGTCGTTTTGTGTTTATGTAACGCGTTTCGGGATATTTCAATTCATTTCGGATAAACCCTACAATGGACTCAGATAAAGTTGTGGGCGCCATGGCGCGCTGGTGGCAGGTAAAGGCCAAATGTTGCTCTGATTCTAATTCTAGTGCCGCAAATATCAAAACATTCAAATGAACACACCTTCTTTTTTAAAAATAAACACACACACAAACACTCGCACACTGTGCCTTACGTATTTATTAAAATTTCTGTTGGATTTGCCTAAATATTTTGATTATCTTTTGCGTATTCGTGTGCGCCGTCGTATTTTGACCTCTAATTGCTCTTTATCGGGCAACCGGGAGTTCTTAAGAGCTGTAAGCAATATTATGCTGCCATAAATACTCTTCATTGTAGACCATACCGCCTTGATGAAATGGCCCACAATGCCCAGCCCCATCTTGTGCAGAAACTGGCTTCTCTTGGCCTAGTTTGTGACACGGCACGTGTGGGCGTATACGCAAATAGATTCGCCTCAGAATTCAATGGACGATACAATTTCAATTTCGTTTCTCTCTCTTTTTATCAGACCGTTAGCCAAGAGGATAATGATGGCCTGTCACACAATCCAATGCTCTACGATCCACTGGATGGCGTCGTGAAGACCTCCAAGACCCGCCAATATATAGCAGCACTTATCAGTGAGACCAAACGATCGAGGATGGCAAGAATGATCTCATAACTGTGCTCTATATCTTCACAGTTTGCCTGGGCGCTGTTGCTGCGGGCACTGCCTTGGCCTGGACCAGTCCCGTGCTGCCTCAAATCAGTGCGCCCGTAGTTAATAGCAGTACAATAGTGACTCCGACCAACTCCACTGGAAATGAGACTAGCCCAGTTAGCCCACCCATACCGCACGATGATCAACTACAACTAACTGTCGCCCAACGTAAGTTTCTTTTATATCGCTATGCTTACATATAAAAGTATTATCGGGGGCAATTTATGACTTTAATCTGTGTTCATTTGATA